CCCGCTTCAGCTGATTTGTTTCGGTGAGTATCGTTCCAATCCTTCTGGCGGTCAAACAGGTGAGCATCGTCTCCGGGTTCTTTGCTCCCACTCCTCCTTCCAGCACCGGTGTAAATAGGAGCTCCTTGCTCCAGAGTCGGAAACATTTTTCAGATGTAACCTTGTTCGCTGACATAAAATTATGCGTCATCTTAGTGATCACCCCCCATGTTTGCGCCGGCGGCGGGTACACTTGAGCTTGTGACCACGCGATCGGCAGTATGTAGCCATCCATCACCGCCGTGCGGGCCTTGATGGGGAGGTATTGCGGCTGCCACAGCGACATTTTCCCAGCGATCTTCTGCAGCGCTTTATCCCATGTCGGCTGACAGCTACCATTCGGCGTGACCCAGACTCCCAGAAGCCGCTCCGCTTCCTCTGCTCCGGCCCAGCGAAACCCATCTGCGCGCCAGGCCTTCCTTCCCAGGTTAGCGCCCAACGGCAATATTACCGATTTTCCTTTGTTCGTCTCCAGGCCAGAGATGCTTTTGAACTCCTCCAACACCTCCTCCGCTCTGCTAATATGTTGCTTGCCCTGCAGCAGGAGGGTCGTGTCATCCGCTCTGCTAATATGTTGCTTGCTCTGCTTTGGTTTGGCTTCGGGGAGGTTTTGGCAAGGTTTTGCTGGTTTTGGCGCAAAATCCAGGCGCTGGGGACGTGGTGCACGAACTTATGAAAGAGGATGCGCGAACATGTTTCAAGATGCGCTCTTTTCGTCAAGAAATTGTAACCGCAAACGAAGTTCCAGCTTCTCTCGTTAATGCATGTTTTATTACAAAGATGTTTCCACATTTGCCTTGCTGGATGCAAATCTGATTCGTTCACTTTCGCAAATGCTTCTTGCCGACAAGTTATCTGCTGGCTCTCTGGCCTTAGTTCTGGACTCAGTGCTACCGCTCAAACAGCTAAATCTCTGCACGGTCGAAAGGCATTCGACACGTGTCTCGAGCGCTGCGACCCGAACCTAACAATACAACGTCGCTCTCGCCAGACTCCCCATAGCGCGCCGCGAAGGATGTTGCCATGCACAGCTCCAAGGGTTCGCCGTTTTATTGCATTGCCGGCTTGCGAGATTTAACGACGTCGCTGCGCGCACTGGGACCCATGATCCTCTCTTCGCGAGACCCCTACGCCTTCAGCGTGCATGCGATGTAGTTATTGCAAGGTTAGAAGCCGCATGCGAGGAGCGTGATGGCGAAGCGATGCCTTCGTGCCATTGTTTTCGCGTGAGCCCGCAACTCCATCGTTCCCTCGCAGCACTGCAAATTGCCTCACGCACGCGCCGCGGCGCACCGATGCGCTGTAGAAGCAGTCAGAATGCGCGTCATCGCCTAGAGCGGAGCACGTAACCTCGCATTGCCAGGAGTCCCATCCTCCTTGCTCCTCGCCTGGGATTCCGATTCTTTGTGCTCTCGTGCGCGTGAGCTTGGTGTAACGCGCGTCATGCCGTTTGTTTTGTTTCCCTCCCGAGGGCTGAAACCGGCATGGGGAATCTCTAAGCGGATAACGCGGGAAACCTAACGGGAGGCGCGACTATTGAAGTGCGAAATGCGGAGGTCTCTACAAAATGTCAGAAGGAAAAGGAATGAAAAAACATTTCACGGGGATTGTTTGATGTTTTCCCCTGCCATCAATGCTTGTGGTTTATCATGATGAGTGCTTAACAGTTGAGGTATGTTCGAGGAATCATAACAACGTGTGCATGTGCAAACTTGAGTAGGCTCGGCAACGAGTGCTTCAGCACATCGCAAACATTGCTCATCCTCACTATAGCAACCAGGAGAACATTTACAATAAGTTACTATAGCGGATCAATGATCACATTCCATGCTCTCAATTGGAGAAAATACAAGCGCAAAAAAATAAACCGGAAATCACATATTACAGCCTGCCAATTGGGTGCCAATATCCAATCGTGACACTCATGAATTATGTTTCTGCTAACACTTTTCATGGTTCCTCATGTCTTATATTTGAACTCAACATTACAACGATGATAGCCATTGTCACAAGACCTAGCCTGCCTTACCAATTTACAAAAAGAAGAAAAAACCTAACATCCTAGATAAATACCCCCGCACAACAAATCCACACACAATATTTGTAACATCCCGATACGAGCAGCTTATTTCGGACCGGAAGCGGGTTCTGCACCGAGCACCAACACACACAGCAGAGATAAGTTAGAAAAATGACTCCTGCGACATGAACCTACCGATCATGTATGCCGTTTATAAGCTCCGCCCTACACCGCAGGAAGCACCTCCAAAAACCGTGATAAACTCGGCGATAGATTGGCGATTCAACTTATCGAAAAATAAAACTGTTAAATGGCCAATAATATTCACGGACGCTTGACGATAGTCTCGGAAATCGCTGATGTAGAGCCTTGTGACGAGCCCTAGCATTCTGCAAAGAAAGAGGTGCTCACAAGGTCGCATTAGCCAATGCTTACGTACCTGGAACAGAAACTCACAAGAATGGACCGGCACGCGTAGGGTGTGAGAAGGTAGCGTAATAACGGGTTTCGTGCAGCCATCACAGCACTAATTGTCCACCACCCCGGACTTTCGATATCCTGCTAAAGAGAAGGTGTAAGAACAGGAAATAGGCACATATGTTAGAAACGGGGCCATTAGGGAGGAACGGATAGACACCAGCAGCCACAGCACCGTGCTAGCTAAGCAAGTGAAGAGAATGGAGAATGAGATCGTGCAAGAGAAAAACAACGCATATTGAGCTATGGGTGGATTTTGACTAGCTGAGGGAGGGAAAAGCATCTCGCACACCAAATGTTGGCGACTGGGTTTGCGAGATCGTCAAAATCTCGTGTGGGTTGGAATGTACCACTGCTAGAGGGTTCAGACAGGCCACAACGAAGCTAGGCAAAAAACGGAAACCCTTATTGGTCTGAGTTTCTATTCGCGAGGATGTCTAAACCAATCCGCGCTGTCACATCCATTTGTGACACCACACCTTCAGAGTGACACTGTTTCTGACGCGTCAGCAACATCTTATCTGGTTCATGACTCGCTATAGGTGCGTTTGCTATAACACCAGGGAATTTCTGCAGATGCGATTTTAGATCTCAGGTTCAATCAAATTCTGTGGGCTTGGTGTTGCGCAAGGAAACCACCCGACATCCAGCAGAACCGAAATGGATTCGCTGTGTGAATCGAAATTGGCACGTGCGGGGCTAGTTCGATTCGAACTGCTAGACGTCGTGGGATACAATGGGGAAGGGGGGACATAGTTTTTGAAAAGTGATCCATGTTTCAGCAATGCGTACCCTCCTAAACAATGTTTCAAGTAACCCTAGTCATTGCTTGTTCAATAGTCTGTGCGCAAAGATCGGGAAAATCCAGTTTTGGGCATGGGCTGTGGTGTCACACATTTTGTAGAGGTGAGCGAAGCCGAGTTGGATGAAATGGCACCACCGCGGCCACGTCGGAAAGTGAATATTAGTCGCCGTTCTCCATCCCTCCCTTTCGCCGTCTCCTATCCATGGTCAAAGTGGCGTTGCTGGTCCCAGTGTGCTGCCGAATCGGAATGTTTCAATGCTACATTTTAGTATGCACCATCAGCTTTCATCAACACCCCCCACCCCCCCTCCCCTCCCTCCTCCTCGTCTGAACTCCGCCCCTTTCTTTTACCTTTCCTTCCAGCTCGCCTTCCCTTCCCGCGCCAACAGCACCTACCATGAACGCATCGTGAGGTGCCCAACCTATCGCTGCGACACACAGCATGGCACGGCACATCTTTCCCCCTCCCCACTCTCTCCCCACCCCTTCCCTTCCCGCGCCAACAGCACCTACCATGAACTCATCGTGAGGTGCCCAACTTATCGCTGCGACACACAGCGGGACGGCATGGCAGAGCACCTCTTTTGCACTCCCCACCCTCTCCCTACCCTTTTTCCTTCCCACACCAACAGCACTTGCCCTGAACTAACCATGAGGAGCACAGCTCATCACTGCGGCACACAGCATGGCACAGCACCTCCTTCGCCGCCCCCTCTCTCTCCCCACTCCCATCCCTTTCCCACATCAGCAGCACCCGCTCTTCACTAGCCGTGAGAGCCCATCTCATCGCCTGGACACACAGCGGGGCGGCATGGCAGAGCCATAGGCTGCAGCCAGCAGCAGTCGTGGTGGCAAAACCAGTCAGCGGCGAGTGGGTGGAGGCAGGCAGGAGAGGCGTGGGAGGGAGGAGCGAGGCAGCAGCTGTGGATGCGACACCGTTCCAGTCCAGCAGCGGCAGTCGTGGAGGCGGGTCTTTCAAGCACGTGAAGCATGTTGAGGGGCGAGCACATGCCATGCTCACATGCGAGTTCAAGCACACCTTGAGGCAGCAGCAAGTGGATAAAGGCACACAATATATTTCGTCAGGAATGCACCTTAAGTCAGACACACACCCTAGGTCAAACATACTTGTCAGGTCGGGCATACATACCAGGTGGGGCATACAGGTTAGGTTAGGTCAGGCATAGAGGATAGGCGAGGCATATATGGTGCTGATACAGGTCAGACGTAGAGCTGTTAAGCCAACAGGAGGTCCCATGCAGGCAAGACTGGTGAATTATGTATTTATTGAGGGCCCAGCCGAACCCTAAGTTGGAATATACGCGTTTAGCGTTTTGTACGCTTGCTGTATAAATGCTAGAGTATATGCGCAAACCGCAGTCCCTGAGGGGTCTGGTACGCACAAGAATCCGCTTGCCCGGGCAGGAAAAAACTTTTCCCCGGGCAGATTTTTGGGGTAAGAGGTGGGGATGGGGGGGTGTTGTAACCCCCATCCCCTTTGTATTAATATGAAAGTTACAGGAAAAAAAAAACCCTTAAAACTAATTTGCCGCTACAACTTCACCCACCTTAATCATGCTACTACCCCCCCATCCCCTACTCTACTCAGGTCCACCCTCCATCCCCCGCCTGCCGCTCATGCATGGAGCCTTCCATCCACTAGTACTCATCTGCCATCACATCATCCTCCCCCTCCTCAGATTCCTCCACCTCCTCCGGGACATTATAGCCAGCCGGAGTGGGGGGGTCCTCGATGTTTCCCTTCACCACCCTCAACCCTTCAAGGGCCTTGTGCCAGTTGTGCACCACCTGCCAATTGTGCGTCACATACACCAGGTCACGAAGCTTCACCGCGCCGAGGCGGTTCCTCCTTGCCGTATGCACTGCATCAAACTTCGCCCAGTTACGCTCACATGGAGACGCAGACACCGGCTGCGTGATGGCGCGGCAAGCCATGGTGGTGAGCTCAGGATGATCGGTCCCGTGCCATGTCCACCAGTCCACCGCCGTCATCTTGCCCTCCTTCACTGCCTGGCGGTCGGCAATAGCGTCGGGCATGCCGAAGCTGCCTTGGAGGTTCATGAAGGCATTGAGGCCTTCCTGGATGACGAGAGAGGCGCGGCGCTCGACCCCGTCCTTCCTGGTGACCGTCTTGTCACCATGGTGCTTGGAGACGTACTGCTTGAAGACCCTCGTGCACTCCAGGTCGGTGCGGAAAATGCACTCTTCCTGGTTGGTGGGGTAGAGGATGCGGCCAATCACGTGCAGGTTGCACGCCAGCCCGTTGTCCCAGCGGTCCTGCACGATCTCCCGAATATCCCCCACCTCGTCGCTTGTCAGGACCCCGTCCGCATGCTCGTCGAGGAAGTCGCGGATGTCCTCGGTGAGCTGGAGCATGAGGTCGTAGAGACGACCCATCATGCCCTTCGAATCCGAGTCAGTCTTGCACATGACGACGAATGGCAGCCTCATCAGCTTAGCGAAGAACTCGGCGCGCGTCCACCACGCGGCATCGAGGATGTTGTCTTTGAATGTGTCTGCCCCAGCCCTGTCTACAGCCGCAGTCCACTCGGCCCACTCATCGCTGAGGACCATCTGCGTCAGGCCGGCGCGCACTTCACAGAGGCGGTTGATGGCGATGTAGTTGGTGCCGAATCGGGTTCCCGCTGGCTTGAGAACCTGTTTCCCCTTGCCGCCGTTCACGAGCGGACTCCGCATGTATCCCCGGGTGAAGTGGTGGTTGCGGACGAACGAGATGAGGGTGTCCCCGCGCGTGACGATGTCCTTCGCCCATCCCTTTTTCCCGATGTCCTCCATCAGGAGATCGAGGACATGGGTCGTGCAAGGGATGTGTTCAATGTGGGGATACTCGCGCATCAACACCCTGCATGCCGCCGCGTAGTTGGAGCCGCCGTCAAAACACAAGGCGACGACATTCTCGTGGCCGACCTTTTCGATGATGGGCCGCAAGATGCCCGCGATGTAGCCCCCGGTCTTCATCTCCATCTTCGTGTCGATCGACTCCACAAACACCGCACCGCTATCGTTGATGAGGAGCACGTTGGCTTGCGGGCGGTCGGCCTTGTCGGAGAACATGTCGCTTGCCACGGTGACACCGTCACGGCGCCAGCTTGCTGAGATAGGAGCGAGCGCCGCCTCAATGCGCTGGCGACACTTTGCAAGACCGACGCCACCGATGTAGCGTCTCTTCAGCGCGACGTAATTCGGCCCCGCGCGGTGGATGCTAGAGACCACATTCCGCCACAGTGGGTGGTCCGCGTGATGCTCCGGCACATGAAGAGCGGCAAAGAAGAGACTTATGGCCTCGTCCGCAGCTTGGTTCGCGCACGCGGCGTCGTCGCCGTAGAAGTCGGTCATCCGACTCTTCTTCTTGTCCGAACCTCTACCGTTGACTGCGCGGACCGCCGCAATTTCAGCCGCACGCTTCGCTTCATGGGCCTTCAACTTAGACTCGTAAAGCGCCTTCACGGCGTCACGTGCAGTCTTCGGCGCTGCAGTGCAGAGATGCACTTCGCGACGGCGCATGCCGTTCCAGCTGGTGATATGTTGCGCGCAACGGTGAACCCCGCCAACAAACGTGAAGTTGCAGTAGGCACACACCTTGGTGCCGTTCTCGCCAACGCTATTGGCCGGCACCTTGAAGTGACGGTAGACTGCGTGCTTGCTGTCCATGCAGACCAAAGACGTACTAGAAGAGGTCCCACCAGCGGAACTACCAGGAGACTCTGAGGGTGGCGTACGAGAAGTGGTTGCTGTAGGAGTGGAAGCCATGGTGGCTTGGGAAAGGACATAGCTAGGAAGCGAGAGAATGAATGTCGAGGGAACAAACGCCTCTCTTTATGCCTGGGAGATTGGGTTGGGTTGAGCTCCCAACCAGTAAAGTAGCACTTGGAGGGGATGGTGGAATGCTGTGGTTCAAAGGGGTGTGAAACGTTTGAGGGGAGGGGTTGATGAGGTTTGGTGCTCGAAATTCAAAATTTGAGTTCATTTCGCGACATCTGCGACTCGGAATTGAGATCGCCACGTCGCGAGCTTCAGATTGAAATTTTGTTTTTTTTTTTCGGTCTGCCCGAAATTCAACTCGGCGAATTTTCAAACTATACGCAACGTACGAGTTCGACAAGCGTATAAACGCAAAACGCAAAATGAAAGTAGCGTATATTCCAACTTAGGCCGAACCACACCTAAAGGTTAGCAACACAGTCTATGTCAGGCACACACCCTATGCGGTCAGGCACGCACCTGCTCGGGCCATGGTGTCTTTTAGTTGGCATTTGCACTGGCTTGATGGTGTCGTCACGCCCAATATTCAACCAACCATGGATTGAAAAGGTGGCAAGTCGGACGAGGTTACCGTATTCTGCCCTAGGGTTGATGTCTTTGCGAAAACGAGGTCTCGTTATGAGATGTCAGACTCTTAGCTGGTAGCGGCAGGGGTGGCAGAAGTAAGAGAAGCTTAACAGGATATCACAGGACCATCTTCTTGCCCCACCCAGATGTCACTTTGCTAACGATTGCATGCTCGTGAGATGCAGCAGCAGTGCTGGCGGTGAAGGCGGTCAGCAAGGAGTGTGGTGGAGGCGGGCAGGAGGGAGGTATGGGAGGCTGACACGTGGAAGGCTGACACATGGGAGGCCGACACATGGGAGGCCGACACATGGGAGGCCGACACATGGGAGGCCGACACATGGGTGAGAGGGGGGGGCAGGTTGAGGCAGCATAAGCCATGGGTATGAGGTTGTGGATGGCTCTTCAGCTGATGGCAGGCAGGGCGACATGCCAAAGCGGAGGTGAGAGAAGCGGAGTAGGTGGTGATATTTGAAACACTTTCTCACCCTATTCCTCACCTAGGCAGAAGCTGCAGTAGAGGCAGTCATTTGCGAGTGGGTGGAGGCAGTCATTTGCGAGTGGGTGGAGGCAGTCATTTGCGAGTGGGTGGAGGCAGCAGGCGAGTAGGCATGGGAGAGAAGAGGGGGGCAGCAGAAGGTGAGGCAGCAGAAGGCGAGGCAGCTGAAGGTGAGGCAGCAAAAGGTGAGGCAGCAGAAGGTGAGGCAGCAGAAGGTGAGGCAGCAGAAGGTGAGGCAGCAGAAGGTGAGGCAGCAGAAGGTGAGGCAGCAGAAGGCGAGGCAGCAGAAGGTGAGGCAGCAGAAGGTGAGGCAGCAGAAGGTGAGGCAGCAGAAGGTGAGGCAGCAGAAGGTGAGGAGAAGGTGAGGCAGCGGAAGGTGAGGCAGTGGAAGGTGAGGCAACGGAAGGTGAGGCAGCAGAAGGCGAGGCAGCAGAAGGTGAGGCAGCAGAAGGCGAGGCAGCAGAAGGCGAGGCAGCAGAAGGCGAGGCAGCAGTGCTTCTTCTGATCCTTACAGAGGCAGTCACTGGCAAGTGGGCGAGTGGGTGGAGGCAGTCAGTGGCGAGTGGGTGGAGGCAGCAGATAAGTAGGCATGGGAGGGAAGAGGGGGGCGGAAGCTGGCTGCACGCTGGTCGGAATCTGCATCTCTCCTCTCCCAAGACCCCTCTCGAAAGAAGTGAATTTCTTAGATGTCTAACAAATTCACTTCTTTCGCGTGGCAGAAGAAGCTCACTGCACGCTGGTCAGAATCCCCCAATGCCCCTCTCCTCCATCCAACCCTTTTTTCCCTCCTGTTTCTTCCGTTAACATCCATGTCTCGTATCCAGTTCCCACCCACCAATAACCCCCCAACCCCCCACCCCCCCCCCTTCTGCTTCCATTGACCCAACAGCCCATTTTACAACCGTGGTACTTCTCTAACCATTAAAGCTTTTGTATACATTTGAGAGTACTGTTGCGGTTTGAACAGTGTCCAAAAAGATTTCGCCACAACGAGATCGAATGAGCTTGGCGAGAGGTTGGCGAAAGTTTGAAGCGTCCAGTGAGGGTTGCGTTGTCAGGGCACTAACACCCTCCCGTCACCCAAACTACAAAATGGTGCTCACTGATACAAAAACAAGTCGCGATGTTACTAACGGGGCTGCGATAGAACTACACGGGAGGCGACGAGGCAGTGACTGGAACAGCGCAACCACTTACACAGTCGCTGGTGTTAGATTGCACACGTAGTCACGACAAGGACCGTCTAGTGCCCGCCAACTCCCTTCAGCTCCAGCGCCGTCTGGATCATTCAATAGCATTAGGCAGGTTCGCCGCGATCCATTCGTTGTCCTCGCCAAGTAATTCTCGCCGAACAAGCAGCTCGCGACACCCTCTTAGCACGTCACCCGCTTCTCGCCTACCCCGCTGCGCGCCTCACCAGCTTACAGCTTAGCGCCTCACCCGCTGCTCGCATCACCCGCTGCTCGAATCACCCGCTACTTGCATCACCCGCTGCTCGCATCACCCGCTGCTCGCATCACCCGCTGCTCGCATCACCCGCTGCTCGCATCACCCGCTGCTCGCATCACCCGCTGCTCGCATCACCCGCTGCTCGCATCACCCGCTGCTCGCATCACCCGCTGCTCGCATCACCCGCTGCTCGCATCACCCGCTGCTCGCATCACCCGCTGCTCGCATCACCCGCTGCTCGCATCGCCCGCTGCTCGCATCGCCCGCTGCTCGCATCGCCCGCTGCTCGCATCGCCCGCTGCTCGCATCGCCCGCTGATCGCATCGCCCGCTGCTCGCATCACCCGCTGCTCGCATCACCCGCTGCTCGCATCACCCGCTGCTCGCATCGCCCGCTGCTCGCATCACCCGCTGCTCGCATCGCCCGCTGCTCGCATCGCCCGCTGCTCGCATCACGCGCTGCGCGCCTCACCCGCGACTCGCCTCACGGGCTGCGTGCCTCACGCGCTGCGCGCCTCACTCGTTGCGCGCCTTACGCACTGCTCGCCTCACACGCTGCTCGTCTCACGCGCTGCTTGCCTCACACGCTGCTCGTCTCACGCGCTGCTCGCCTCACAAGCCACTTCGTTCGTCAAAACGTCTCGCTTTCATCAGGACCGCCTTCTCTCGTTCGTCCCCCTCATTTCCCCCCTTCTCCCTCTCATTTCCCGACCTGGTCCCCCTGATTTCACCCACTTCTCTCTCTCATTTCCCCCCTTTCTCCCTCTTATTACCCTCTCTTCTCCCTTTAATCTCCCCCTTTCTCCCCCTCATTTCCTCCCCTTCTCCCTCTCATTTCCCTCCTCCCTCTCATTAACCCCCCTTTTCTCTCTCATTTCCCCCCCTTCTCCCCCTCATTTCCCCCCCTTCTCCCCCTCATTTCCCCCCTTCTCCCTCTCAAATTCCCCCCGACTCGCTCTGAAATCCCCCTCTTATCCCTCTCACCCCCCCCCCCCTCCCTTCGCCCCCTCATTCCCCCCCCCCCTTCTCGCGTTCATTTCCCCCCCTTCTCCCCCTCATTCTGGTATCGTCCCTCTCATTTCACGACCTGCCCCCCCTCATTCCCCCCCCCCTTCTCTCCCTCATTTCCCCCCTTTCTCCCTCTTATTACCATCCCTTCTCCCCCTCATTTCCCCCCCTTCTCCCCCTCATTTCCCCCCCTTCTCCCCTCATTGCTCCCCCTTCTCTCCCTCATTTCCCCCCTTCTCCCTCTCAAATTCCCCCCGACTCGCTCTCAAATCCCCCTCTTATCCCTCTCACCCCCCCCCCCTTCACCCCCTCATCCCCCCCCCTCTTCTCGCCCTCATTTTCCCCCCTACTCCCTCTCACTTCCACCCTTGCTCCCTCTCATTTCCCCCCTTGCTCCCTCTCAGCTCCCTCCCTACTCACCATCGTTCCCCCTCCTGCTCCCTCTCATTCCCCCCCCCTTCTCCCCCACATATCCCCCCTTCTCGTTCTTAAATCCCCCCCTCATCCCTCTCATCCCCTCCCCCCTTCTCCCTCTCATTTCCCCCTCTTCTCCCTCTCATTTTCCCCCCTTCTCCCCCTCATTTCCCCCCCTTCTCAACTCTCCTTTCCCTCCTTGCTCCATCTCATTTTGTCCCCATTCCCCCTCTCAAATCCCCCCCTTCTAGCTCTCAAATCCCCCTTTTCTCCCTCTCTTCCCCCCCCCCTCTTCTCCCTCTCATTTCCCCCCTTGCTCCCTCTCACCCCCCCCCCCCCCCCCTTCTCGCCCTCAGTTCTCCCCCTGCTCCCCCTCACTTACCCCCCTTCTCCCTCTCACTTCGCCCTCTTCCCACCCTCATTCCCGCCCTTCTCCCTATCATTCTCCCCCCTACTCCCTTTCATTTCCCCCTTTAAGGGGGGTGATTGCTCTAAGGGGAGCGGGCAGTCATCATGTGCGATGGTGAAGCCAGTTGTGGAGCAGACTCCTCTCGTTGTGCTAGAGCCTGAGGCCGGGGAGGGCTTACAGGCTGTTGCAACTGCTGTGAAGGCGAACCCGAGCGTCGTGCTGCTTGATAGCGCATGCTCCCACCATCTCATGGGAGATCATTCTGTCTTTGTGGAGATGAGCAGCGGCGGCAGCATTAAGCAGGTTACCGGCTTCAACGGCGCCCTTCAGGAGGTGCAGGGGCGAGGCACAGTCGCTCTTCTTGGGGAGGGGGGCAGGTGTGTCTTGGTGCCGGACGTGCTGTACGTACCAAGAGTGCAGGCGAGTCTTTTCTCTGCTGGGCAGCTGCATGATAGTGGAGTGCAGCTGCTGGATGCCGGGGATGTGACTTTGCTGCGGGCACCAGATGGATCGCTCCTTGGTCGTGCGGGGTTCAAGGAGCGTGTTCTCTACACGAACTTCCAGCCGTGTTCGACCCAGCAGCAGGAAGGCGAAACAGTGGCACTTCGTACCTTGGCGACGAGCGTACGGTCTAAGGGGGACCTGTGGCATGCGCGTATGGCACACGTTGGTATTGATGCCATCGAGCGCACAGCGGCTCACGGGTCAGTGAAGGGCTTGGATTTGGAGAAGGGGGGCAAGTCAGGCATACCTTGTGTCTCCTGTGTTGGGGGAAAGATCACTCATCATACCTTTCCTTCTGTGGGAGAGGAGGAGGATGAGTTGCTCGGGGTGGTGCATGCTGACCTGTGTGGCCCTTTCCGTGAAGCAGCTAAGGACGGCAGCCGCTACTTCTTGGTGCTGAAGGATCGCAAGACGCGATATGTCTGGGCCTACCCTTTGGCCCAGAAGAGTGATGCGCTGGCGGCGTTCCAGAAGTGGCTCCCGATGGCAGAGTGACAGTGCAAGACCACGGTGCAGGCGGTGCGCACTGATCGGGGTGGCGAGTTCCTGGGGCACGACGGTAAAGGCATCATCCATGACCTCACATGCCCGTACACGCCGGAGCAGAACGGGATGGCCGAGAGGGAGATGCGCAGCATTGTGGAGGCGGTGCGGACGATGTTGCTGCACATGGGTGTGCAGCATCACTGGTGGCACCTGGCGTTGGCTCAGGCCGTCTGGGTGCGCAACCGCGTGGAGCACGCCTCACTACCCTCTGGTGTGACGCCGTACGAGCTCGCCTTCCGACGCAAACCTGATGTCAGTATGGTGCATGTTTGGGGCTGCATGCTGCAGTACATGGTACCACAGTCGCAGCGTGGGGGGAAGCTGGCGCCTAAGGCTCGCTGGGGGTTGCACTTGGGTGTGTCAGATGCGAGCAAGGGCTGGACCGTGCTGGACTTGGAGTCCAACCGCCTCATCACCACTGTGGAAGCTGTGTTCTATGAGACCATGTCCCTAGCAGGATGGAAGGCTTGGCATCAGCAGGAGCATGGGGGGCGTTCGATGCCCTATGAGCCCCTTCCCTCACTCTTCCCGATCACTCTCAAGGAGGCGGAGGAGGAGGAGGAGGTGGTCGCACCTCCTGCTATGCCCTATGTCCCTACCTCAGTCCCCACCCCACCTCCGCCTTCAGTCTACCCTCGTGTGATTCCCCCTGCCCCGCCTTCTTCCTCCTCACACCCCTTGGCTTCCCCTCCTCCTCCTGTTATTCCATCTCCCCTTCCACCCTCCATCCCTCATGCACCTGCTCCGCCCTCTTCTTCGTCTTCCACGGCGCCGCCCGTTGGTGAGGGGGGGATGGAGGTGCCACCGTCTGTGGAGATCACCGACGGGCAGCGCCTTGAGACTGAGCAGCTGCAGGACGAGAGCAGTATGGATGGAGTACAGCAGAGTGGGGGGCAGGAGACAGGGGAGCAGCAGACAGGGGAGCAGCAGATTGGGGAGCAGCAGACAGGGGAGCAGCAGATTGGGGAGCAGCAAACAGGGGAGCCGCAGACAGGGGAGCAGGAGATATGGGGAATTAGAGATGGTGGTCGTGTGTTGGTTTCTGGGACAACCACTGCACCACTGCGTCGTTCCACTCGCATCACTCGTGGTGTCCCGCCTGTTCGATACGCTTGGGCTGTAGTGGTTGAGCTAGTGGGCTTGGATGACGAGGAGGAGGACGAGGAGTGGACTAACCTGGACCCGGACGTGGCAGCTGATCCTGAGAGGCAGTGGGACATAGCAAAAATGACAGTGAAGGAGGCCTTGGGCTGCTGGAAGGGAGACAAGATGAAGGAGGCGATGGATGAGGAGATGCGGAGCTTGATTGAGCAGGGGACGTGGGAGTTGGTTCCGCGTCCGCCAGGGGTGAATGTGATGAAGAACCGCTGGATTTTGAACACCAAGTTCCGACCTGATGGGATAGTGGAGCGTGAGAAGGCGAGGCTGGTGGTGAAGGGATTCACGCAGGTGGCAGGGGTGGACTATGAGGAGACGTACGCCCCTGTGGGAAGCTATGTGACGGCGCGTGTGCTTCTGGCGATTGCAGCTGCACTTGATTTGGACCTGATGCAGCCCGATGTGAAGAACGCGTTCCTCCATGGCGTGCTGGACCGAGACCTTTACATGGAGCAGCCGAGCTACTACGAGGATGGGACTCCTCGTGTCTGTAAGTTGGTGAAGAGTCTGTATGGGCTCAAGCAGAGCCCGATGCTATGGTATGAGGCCTTGGATGGGGTGCTGCTTGGGGATGGATGGAAGAAGAGCAAGGTGGATGAGGCTCTGCACTTCAAGACTGATGCTGAGGGGGAGATGTGCTGGCTCCTGGTGTATGTGGATGACCTGCTTGCTGCCAGCCGCAGTCAAAGCATGCTAGCGGAGCTGCGTGACCTGCTGCAGAGTGCCTTTCAGCCGCGGGAGATTAGCCCTGTGGAGAAATGTCTGGGGTTGCAGCTGATTCGGGACAGGCCCACGAGGAGGCTGTGGCTGCACCAGGGGGCCTATGTGGACAAGGTCCATGGGCGCTTCTTTGACGGGGAGCAGCGCTGCGAGTGCCTCACACCCCTCTTTCCTCTGACCCTTTTAGTGTGCAGAACTTCGAGGATGTGGGATGGCTGTCTCGCCAGGAGGAGGAGTACAGGCAGACGGTGGGATCCTTGCAGTTCGCGGCCTGTACCACCCGTCTTGACATCTCGTTCGCCTGCAGCAAGCTGGGGTCGGGCCAGACTGTGCAGAGTGATCAGCACAGGAAGGAGTTGGACCGGTGCTTGACGTACTTGGTGGGGAGCAGGGATGTGGCGCTGGAGTTTGGTGGTGGGCCGGAGTCCTTGGAGCTGGTGGGCTACGCCGATGCTGATGATGCAGGGGACAAGTAGAACAGGACCAGCACAGGTGGCTATGTCTTCGTGCTCGGGGGTGCTGCTGTCTCATGGGCGAGCCAGAGGATTCGTTGCGCCACCCTCTCCTCCACCGAGTCTGAGAACGTTGCTGCTGTGGAGGCTGGGAAGGAGGCGCGCAGGCTGCGCTTCCTGCTGGCAGAGTTTCAACTGCTGAGGAGTGAGGAGCCCACGACTCTCTTTGTGGACAACTCCTCCGCCATTTCAGTGGCAGGTGGCATGGGGCTCAAGGGGAGCCTCAAGCACATGGAGCGTCGTCACATGTGGCTGCAGCACATGGTCAAGCGCAGGAAGCTGCAGCTGCAGTACATCCCTACGAGCGAGCAGCCTGATGACTACCTCACGAAGGCATTGCATTTCCCCGCCTTGAGTCGTTGCTTCGAGGCTGTGGGGCAGGTGCGGCTCTCGAGCGAGGGGAGTGAGACCTAGACACTCCATGATGTGGATGGTGACATGGCCTATCCATGGCTGGTGCGGTGCGTGTTTACACTTTGAGCGTGTTTCGTTTGTGTGTATCCCTTTGTTTTGGTGTGTATGTGTGTATGCATGCCCTGTGATTATAAAGGGCCTTGCTGTAGTATGGCAGGGGAGTGTTAGAGGGCCCTACGACAGCAAGGGCCCTCGATGACCTTTGACTTGGCAGGTCGGCGCCTAACGACTGAGTCTACTCGGCACCGACGCACGAGTTCGGTGGCGGTCATTAGTGACTACGGGTGACTGTGAGCTACTGCAGCAAACTCGGCGGAATCAGTGCTAAAAATGACGAGTCTTGGGGGTCGTAGGTGCCTTGCTTGTGAGGCATGCCGCTCACTTGCTGTGTTGGCAGGAGTGGCGTGCACGGTGAGACATTCCGGTGCCGAGTTGGGTTGGAAATGTGCGGGGCTCGTTCACCCACCTGCACAGCACTTTCTTGTGGGTTGGGTTACTCGCAGCGCCACGCAACATTTGTGCAACTCTTGCTTGCCTATATATGTTTGTGTTTGCTTGAGTGTTTGATAGTTGATATTGCAATTCTACTTGGCCCAAATGCTACTTCAATTCTCACATAGTCCTTAGAGGCAAACGCTACCAAAAATCTACCAAGTTGCTGGCGCAACATCATTCCCATAGCAGAGACTCTCTCGCCATCACTACGCTCTCTAATATATTCCTTCAAAATCCTCTGGCAAGGCCTTCAATCGCACGCAGCCCAGCAGGCTGAGAATCCTCAGCCGTGTCAGCTGTGCAAACCCGGGAGGAAGTGAGCTGATGGATGTTCTCTCAAGCTTAAGCATGCAGAGGAAGCGAAGCTGTGTCAACGAAGGTGGTAGTTGCTGCAGGGCATTACACCCCGACATATCCAGCTGACGGAGCCTGGATAATGCACCAATGCCATCGGGTATAGCAGCCATCTTGCGTGCATTGACCTTCAACGATGTCAGGTGTTGGAGCTGTGATACCATTTCTGGCAGCTCCTTGAAGTGGCATATCTGCAGATTTCGCAGCTGCAGCAATGAGGAACCAATGCTTCCTGGAAGGGTCCGAATCCTTCCAACATTCCAGATAATAAAGTCTTGGAGCCGAGAAAGCGGGTCCAAGGAATTAGAAAGCTTGTCAAAATTGTCAGCCAACTCCAACTTCAAGTGCCTCAAACGGGACGGCAGTAATATCCGAGTGTGCGAATTTGTCTTGCCATTCTCGTCCCAAATCAGGACCTCAAGGGAGAGTGGCAATGACATAGGAAACTCACACAGCCCTTTGCACCCTGTTACCTGCAACCTCTTTAGCTACCCAAGGCTCCCTAGCCTTCGTGGCAGCACAGAAAGCCGGCCACAACATTCAACAATCAGGGTTGTGAGCCTCGTGAGCCGTGTAATAGAACCTGGAATCTTTTTCAGAGCAAAACATTGACGAATGCAGAAATGCTGCAGGTTACTCAACTTGTACAGACCCTCCGGGAGCTTGACAACTGAGCACTTGGAAAGCTCAAAACTTGTAAAACAAACCAGCTGCGTGAATGAAGGGGGAAACTGCTCCCTGAAGCTGTGTAAGTGAAGAGTCTCGAGGTTACTGAGCCACCCAATCCTATCTGGAAGCACCATCTTAATATAGTGCTCGAAGCTCAGTGTCTTGAGAGATGTTAGACTCCAGAACTCTGCTGGCAGTCGCATGTGGCCACAGCAATGCAGCGACAGCGTCTCCAGAGAAGTTGCTTGGCAAAGGGATTCAGGTGGGTTTAAACCACGCAGGGTGTGCAGCACCAGTGACTTGAGGGAAGGAAGCTCTCCGAAGTCGTTAAGGCTGTGAAGCCGGATGCACCCAATGATGGACAAGCACTCCAATGCACTCAGGGAAGTGATGCTATCGGGGAGTTGGTCAAGCTCGGAACAATCCCGAATGGTCAGCTCACGCAGAATTGGTAACAGCTCCCCGAATTCATCAGGAATGCGCCGGAGGTTGGCAGAATTGGTGATCACGAGCTGTTCTAGACGGATGCACGGTGATCCTGTATAAAACATTGAAGCGAAATCAGGACTCGCGGACAGGAACTCGAGAGTCTTCAGATGAGGTACTTGAGCAGCTGGAAAAGTTGCAAATGATGAAGTATTCTTAAGTAGGCAAATTTCACTGGAGATTGAAAGTATGGAGAGCCTTGGGATGCGAGCGAGGCTTGACAGTTGCTGGCGCGTCAACTTCTGGACTGCAATATGGAGAGAAGTGAGAGACGATAGCACTGCAAATCGATGAAGTGTCAAGGCTGAAACGTCGGTTAGAAGAACCGTGTGGATATGCTGCAGCTGAAAGAAAGAATCCGGCAACCTGGTATTCTCATGAAGGCAGTGAAGCGAAATCTCCTCCAGCTGAGTGCACTTCAAGAAAAAATCATCCAAGCCAACTTGAGTAATTGGGTGCTCATCCTTGCTTCCTCCACACTCCGTTGGTGTGATCCTGCGACCCATGTGAAGAGCTTTCAGTTTAGGCCGTGACGAAGCAAGGCAAGGGAGGAAAGCGTTGTCCATCATCTTGACACTTCCGTCGCTCAGATGAAGATTCGCGAGGTTGTCGAGAAGCGCCACTGCGTTCGCCAAATCTTGACGAAATACGAATTGGTTTTCTTGGACTGAGAGACTAGTGACCTGACGCTTAAAGCTTTTGTATACATTCGAATGAGGGAGGTTCAAAAGTTTTGAAATTTGAAAGATTGGTAACCCTATTACAGCCAGTTCACTTGCTCTACAAGGGAGGGATATCCCTCGGACTCCCAGCACTCACAGGTGATTCAAAACTTTTGGGTCTACAAAAGTATACGAAATCCAGCCTTTGAGAGATCTACCCCACTAGGCTCTACAGGCAGCATAATACGTAGCTAAGCACGCGACTCAACCGCCAGCGAAAATTACCCCCGTTTCTGACACAAACCTAGACGCGTGGGGCATTTTAGTAAAATTATAGGGATAAGCCAACTTCAGTTTTGCCCTCTCACGCAGCGATCCCGCCGGACCTTCCCTCATGGCCTCGCCTCGTCGTCCGTCACGTCGTCTCAAACTGCCGAACACGGACAATCACAGTCACGGCTCGATCGCACAGCCTCGCTACCACGTTTCCGCACTAGCCTCGGCAGCTGCACTTGAGGTCGCGAACGACTGCAGAAACGGGAGCTCCCAACACCATCCCGCCTCCTCGTTTCCCATTCTCGCCACCCCAATTTGCGTTCCCCCCTCCCCGTTTCCCCTTTCCGCTCCCCATTACCCCTTCCCGCCTCCCCGTTTCCCCTTCCCGCCTCCCTAATTCCCCTTCCTTCTCCCCATTACCCCTTCCTGCCTCCCCGTTTCCCCTTCCTGCCTCCCCAATTCCCCTTCCCGCCTCCCGTTTCCCCTTCCAGCTCCCCATTTCCCCTTCCCGCCGCCTCATTTCCCCTTCCCGCCTCCCCATTACTCATTCCCACCTCCCTGCTTCCCCTTCCCGCTCCCCATTACCCCTTCCCGCCTCCCCGTTTCCCCATCCCGCTCCCCATCTCCCCTTCCCACCTCCCCATCACTCATTTCTTTGAACCATATTCGTCCTTCCACCTCCTATGCATCTCCTTTCCCTACCTATGCATCAGCTATCCCTACCTATTCATCTCTCTTCCTTGCCTTCGCATCACCTCTCATCCCATCCCCTTCAAACCCCTCTCATCCCATCCCCTTCAAACCCCTCTCATCCCATCCCCTTCCAGCCCTTCTCATCCCATCCCCTTCAAACCCCTCTCATCCCATCCCCTTCCAGACTTTCTCATCCCATCCCCTTCAAACCCCTCTCATCCCATCCCCTTCAAACCCCTCTCATCCCATCCCCTTCAAACCCCTCTCATCCCATCCCCTTCCAGCCCTTCTCATCCCATCCCCTTCAAACCCCTCTCATCCCATCCCCTTCCAGCCCTTCTCATCCCATCCCCTTCAAAACCTCTCATCCCATCCCCTTCCAGCCCTTCTCATCCCATCCCCTTCAAACCCCTCTCATCCCATCCCCTTCAAACCCCTCTCATCCCATCCCCTTCCAGCCCCTTCGATCCTCTTTCAGTCCCTCCCACCCCGGCAATAAAATATCTAGAGGGTGTGTTGAATCGTATGCATTCCCCCTAATGCCCTCCTCCCTGTACTGCCGATCTCCTTATTTGCGTGACGTTCACACCCACTCCATCCCATCCTGGCCCTCCCGTACCCTTCTCATCGTTCTCTGCATCATGAGCATCCTCTATTGACGTCCCCAGCTTTTACTCTGGAAAATGGGTTTCCAAATCATTATTTTTTATGTATTTAGTGTAATGGGAAATGAGAAATCGTTACACCAAACTTGTTGAAGTGCAGATACCTAAATGGACAATGAAACTCATAGAAGTTGCTAATATCGTACGGCTAAGCGAGCTCGACAACACACAATTGGAAGTGTATGCATGGGGGTTGAATCAAGATTAGAAGCCGTCAACTAAGCAAGATGCCGCACGTGCTGTAGGGTTTGCTGTCGCATGCCTGGCATTGGTGTGTAGCAGAGGGGAGCGAGAGAGTGGGCCGGTTGGTGGACCTGCTAGTGAGAGGAGTGGGGGGATTGGGACGGAGGTTGTGGGGGTCTTGTGCCTGAGGAAGGAACACTGGCAGAGGCAGCAGGGGCAGCTCCGGCAATGGCAGCAGCAGTGACAGTAGGGGTAGGGACAGAAGAAGTAGGCGCAAAGAGAGAGGTGCACGAGTGGCCGCACATGTGCCTGAGCCAAAAAAACAGGTACGGAGCAAGGGAAGGGTGGGCATGAGAGGGGTGGGGATGGGTGTGGGCATCTGATGACTGCGCGCAAATTACCGACCTCCACGTTTGCCTCCTCTGTACTCATCCTCTACGACGTCTCTATAAGGTACCACAAATTAAAATAAAGTGCCCCTTCCTTAAATCCCTCGTCTTGGGGTCACCTCACAAGGGTCCTCAGATGAGTGGTAATAAATTACCAAACGCCCTATCCTTGGGTCCGAGAACGTAACTGGAGGGAAATCAAGAGAGGTTCAACTTAGATAAATAAGCGCCCTTCACTAACGCCGCATGCCAAGGCGAGTATACGAACGCGAATATCAACGACGACGGAAATCTATGCGTGTTCGTTCCACGCTCACCGCACCATGAAGGAATATATTAGAGAGCGTAGCGATAGCGAGAGAGTCTCTGCTATGGGAATGATGTTGCGCCAGCAACTTGGTAGAGTTTTGGTAGCGTTTGCCTCTAAGGACTTTGTGAGAATTGAAGTAGCATTTGGGCCAAGTAGAATTGCAATATCAACTATCAAACACACAAGCAAACACAAACATATATAGGCAAGCAAGAGTTGCACAATTGTTGCGTGGCGCTGCGAGTAACCCAACCCACACGAAAGTGCTGTGAGGTGGGTGAACGAGCCCCGCACATTTCCAACCCAACTCGGCACCGGAATGTCTCACCGTGCACGCTACTCCTGCCAACACAGCAAGTGAGCAGCATGCCTCACAAGCAAGGCACCTACGACCCCCAAGACTCGTCATTCCTAGCACCGATTCCGCCGAGTTCGCTGCAGTAGCTCACAGTCACCCGTAGTCACTAATGACCGCCACCGAACTCGTGCGTCGGTGCCGAGTAGACTCAGTCGTTAGGCGCCGACCTGCCAAGTCAAAGGTCGTCGAGGGCCCTTGCTGTCGTAGGGCCCTCTAACAGATTTGACTCAACTGAAGGCGCTGCAACACTTGAATGTCAAGGGGTGTAAGCAAGCAATTGAGGGCATGTCACGTGCACTGCGCTATGGCCTCCTAGACATGCATGGGCTGACAATTTTCAGGTTCAAAACCGGCATGCCATGGTGATTGCGTTTCATTGTGAATAGTGCCTGCCTATACATATCCTCTTCTCAAAGGAGAGGGCATACCGTACCTTCAAATAAAGTACCTGAGGTAATGTTTAGAGGGATTATTAGTACCTTAGTAAGAGCCACATTCTGATTATGTTCGTTCATATTGTTCTTTATAGGGCATGCGTATGATAGGCTGCATTAGCCATGCTCGGGTGCCTATGGGTGCAGGCTGCACATATCCTCCACAGAGGATAGGGCATGTTTCATGAGTAGGAAAATCGTGTATGCCCTTCTGTTCACAGCTTTCAGAATGTTACCTAGGATATATATATGATCATTCAGTGAAAACGGTATTGCCGTGATACCCAACAAGCAGGGATTGTACCGTATGATCTAACTGGAATACCGTAGCGTGACACAAATATTCATGATAACCGCATCGTGGTCACATGATGATGCTCCAGTATATCTATCAAACAATGCTACCCGTACATTGCATAAACACTTTAAGAGACAATGGTACGTCTTTTATATACAGAGCCCCATACTCCCATGGCTACCTTGAGGAAATTGCGTTGGCTGATATGTAAGGGTGGGTGGCGTGGCATGGGATGAGATGGAATCACGGACGGCACAAATGGGAAAGAGAAGTGGACCTGCGTGAGAACGGGAATAGAGCAAATGTGATGCATGCTGCAGCGCACTTGAGAACATCAATTATATTTGCCCCTCCTAACAATCATCCCCTGTCCCTCAAAACATCTTTCTCACACCACCTGAGGTGGTCCACCTCCCCTAGCAGGCTGCTGTGAATGGCAGCAGGTGGCAACACAGGGAGAGGGGCTGAATCCCTGGAGTTTGAAGCGACTGATTCGAGTGGCATGCATGCAGGACAAAGACCTGCAAGCTGCATCTCCCTTGAACGTATCCCAGTGTGAGCTGCGGCGATGCAAACACCTCGTCCTCCTCTCCTCAAGGCCCTTGTGTGTCGCCACCATTCACCACTACACATTGACATGCTTCAGAAAGGCTACCCCATTGTACTTAACTTCACTCTTTGCACAATATAGGTAACGGGCATCAAGAGAACAGTGGAAATGGGTATACGGCAGAACAGGGATGGGACGAGCAATGGGTTGCATGTTGGGAATGAGCCATGGAATGAGGCGTGCTTGCACAGCTGCCTAAAGCACTCAGATGTGGCTGCTGATATGGCTCGACATGTCGTATGTTTTCACCATGAGCGAATTGAAGTGCTGATAATCCCCGATCCAGCCATTCTAGCTATGCCCGTGCTCCAAGCATCATCTCCCTGGGAGCCTCACCTCACTGCATGCCATATGATAATGTCGAGGCGGCTTCTAAAAGCATCTGCGGGAGATAGGGTGTGGGGGGTGGTGAGGGGGAGGAGGTGAGGCAGGGAAAGGGTACGTGGAGTTGGGGGGGAGTGCAATCCTGGGTGAGTGCAATCCTTCAAAGACAGTTGGAGTATAGCAGCTCTCTGCTGCCACTCATAACCAACCACAAAGAGCAGAGGAGGGTGGGGGTGAGGTAGTCGGGGCTGGGGAGGAGGGAATGCGGGGGAGACGAGGTGGTGAGGTTGGGGTGGGGTATGGGGTTGTGGAGGGTGGGAGGAAGGAAGGGACAGGCAGACATGGGAGCAGGTAAAGGAGGGAGAGAGGGGCATGGAGGGGGGAGTGGGTGATAGCAGTCGGTGGTGATGCAGGTGATGGCGAAGAAGGGAGAAGAGTTGTGTGGAAGTGAGAAGGATGTGGAGCTCGTGATTGGTAGACGGAGAAATGCATGCGGATCAAGGTGATGGTGGGACGAGAGCGAGCATCCAGGATAGGAAGGAACACTTGCTTCGTTCATACCTCAAACGTCAACAAGGGCCACAACAGGATGAGACAAATGGCATGGCACAATGAGCTTGTTTTATGAAACTGCTGACATTATGGTAGGGGGGGAGGGGAGGGCAGACAAGCACAGGCAACATAGGGAACAGGGGACGGCGGGAGGGAGCAACGGGAGAGATAGAACGGACATGAGGCGCGGCGAGGAGGGGATGCATGCATGTAGGGAACACGAGCTAACAACGATTTCAGATGGGAGGGGACCGGGTACAGTGGCAAGGGTGGAGGGGAACGGGTACAGTGGCAAGGGTGGAGGGGAACGGGTGGGTGGAAAGGTGTAGCGATTTTGCAGTGAATAAATCCTTTAGGGTCGCCATCACTCTCATCCACAGCCCCTCCAGCCAGCCTCACCCAGTCGCCACCAGCCAAGAACTCCATCTTACTCCTCCTGCCACCCTGCCTTCCCAGATCACCTTCCCAGATCACCTTCCCAGATCACCTTCCCAGATCACCTTTCACGATTCCATCCCCCCTGATCACCCTCCTCGCCCTCTTCACCCTCATTGCACCCTTTTCGCTTCTATCGATCGTCATGACCTGCCACTGACCTGCCACTGACCTGCCACCTCCCTCACAGAGCACACCGCCTTGATGTAGAAATCTCCTCGCACCCAGCAGCCTCACTACTTGCGACCTGCTGGTGACCCATAACTAGCACACTTTCCCTGGCTGGATCATGCCTGGCTGGATCATGCCTGACTGAATCATGCCTGGCTGAATAACGCCCGGCTGAATCATGCCTGGCTGAATCATGCCCGCCTGAATCATGCCTGCCTGAATCATGCCTGCCTGAATCATGCCTGCCTGAATCATGCCTGGCTGGATCATGCCTGGCTGAATCATGCCTGGCTGAATCATGCCCGGCTGAATCATACCTGGCTGAATCATGCCCGCCTGAATCATGCCTGGCTGAATCATGCCTGCCTGAATCATGCCTGCCTGAATCATGCCAGGCTGAATCATTCCTGGATGAATCATGCCTGGCTGAATCTTGCCTGGTTGAATCATGCCTGGCTGAATCATTCCGGGCTGAATCATGCCTGGCTGAATCATGCCTGGCTGAATCATGCATGGCTGAATCATGCCTGGCTAATTCATACCTGGTTGGATCATGACTGACTGAATCATACCTAGCTGAATGATGACTGGCTGAATCATTTCTGGCTATATCATACATGGCTGAATCATGACTGGCTGAATCATACATGGCTGAAGCATGTAAGGTTGAATCATGACCAGATGAATCATGCCTGGCTGAATCATGCCAGGCTGAATCATGCCTGTCTGAATCATGCCGACTGAATCATGCCTTGCTGAATCATGTCTGGCTGAATCATGCCTGGCTGAAGCATGCCTGGCTGAATCATGC